GCTCAAGTTGTGGAGATATTCTCCTATATTTTCTGCTTTAAATGTTATCGTTTTACCTTTCACATTTAGATCTACAATCCATCTAGAATTTATATTTGTGTAAGGTGTGAGGTAAGGGTCAAGATTTATTTTTTTCTGACATGGCCCAGCACTATTTATTGGAAAAAACAAAAACAAAAACAAAACCCTTTTCCCACTGCACTACAGTGTCACCTTTGTCATAAATGGAGCAATCACATATAAGTCTGTTTTTGAACTCTATTCTGTTCTGTTGATCTATTTGCCTATCCTTGTGCCAAGATCACAAAGTAAATCTCCTGGGATTTTGATTGATATTATATTAAATTATGAATCAGTTTAGGAGAAGTGAAAGCTTAACAATAGTGATTCTTCCAGTCCATGAACATGGTAAATTTCTGTGTGCCATCTTAATACCTCTTAACTAGGTACACATTCATTAACATCTATACTCCTCAGAGTGTAGATACAAAGCTTCTGACCCCTTTCTTCCTGGATCCCAGGGCTTTCTTCACAATTTCTGTTTCCTGGTTTTCCTCCACATCCCTGAATGATTGACACTTCAAACAATTTCACACTCTTGTAGGCCTCAGCAGGATAATGACATAAAAATACAATACAATAACCTCAGTGTTTACACAATATGTGATATACCTATACAGTAACAGCAGAGAACGGGGCTTCTTTTCTCAGATCATCATTAATTAGGAAGGACATTAAAAACCAAAAGCAGAAACAATATGTTTTTCCTTTTGGAAACCCAAGCTGTGTGCTACCCTTGGATTATTGTATGCAGTTCTGGTCACCACACCTCAAAAAGGAAATAATACAGTTGGAGAAAGCCCAGGGAAGGGTATCTATGATGGCCAAGTGGATGGAGTGTTTGGCTCTTTATGGAGACAGAGCCAAACCAAACAAAAACCCTTCAGACAAAAAGGGATAATAACTGCAGTCCTTGGTGTTAGAGAGTATGGATAAGGTGTACATAGACCAAATCCTAGAATGCAAGTTTGGTACCACCCCACTTACACTTTTAAAAGATAAATTTAAGGCAAATACTGGTAAAATGAAACTTTTGCCCAGCAAAGGGAATACATAAAAATGAGTAGAGGATGATTTTTTTTTAAGGGAACCCAGGGCTATTTGCAGGTACATTCCTACACTTGGACGCTTGACATCCTTAGTGTCACAGCAGGTCAGAATTCTACTTGAGGAGGACCACCAGCCTAACTCAGTATAGCATTGTTCAGGCTGATAGGTGCATCTTGCTGAGATGTTTATTTCCTTTTGTTCAGCCTCTGGTGGGAACAGAGACTTTCTACACAATGCTGCCTCAGAGACAATGATTAATTTAATCATTTCTCAAGGTTGAATAGTCCAAGTCCCTTTTATTTCCACTCCGGACCACAGTTGTTAGCCATTTCCTCATTTCTGTGTCCTGCTTTGGCTCCTCTCCCAGTTCTCTGTGTCCCTTGAAAGTTGTGGAAACCTGAACTTAACACAGACTCTGATTTTGGCTAGAGCTTCTGGGCAACAGTTTGCTCAGCAAAACGCTCTGTCAGCTTCTGAGGAAGACTCCTCCACTTGCTTATGAACACACGTGCATACCCATGTTCACAGGCATGAGGAGGTTGCCCACCTAGATGAGAGTGAGGCCTGGGGCAATGCACAGGCTGCAGCTTCCCCAATGTTTTCATACAGAATAAATCAAGTTTAAATGGGCAGAAAGAGCAGACTTCAGGGGAAAGATATCACAAAAGGGCTACTGGGACTTGGGTGGGATAGGGAAGCTTAAGGGAGGTCAGAGAAGATAGAGTGGGCGGGGGAGTCCCTTCTACTTATCCTCGGGGCTGGGATTGTCACTGTCCAGCCTCCTAGAAGAAGGAATGAGAACCCTCAAAGTTTGGTGCTTGAAGATCATTACACAGATTTGCTGAACTCCAGGATGCCTCTACGTATTAACCCCATGTGCATACCCCACTACCTCAGACTGCATCCCGAGAAACTGGGTAGATGTTGCCCAGATATCTGAACATCACCACTGTGTCTTTTTAAAATTATTATTAAAAATGAGTTTAATCTTTTCTTTTTTATTAATTAATTATTATTATTATTATTATTTTTACATTCTAAGGTATTGTTGTGGAGCAGTTGAGGGGAGAGA